TGGCAGGCAAAGTTTTTCCCTATTTTATATTGTACAGGCTTATTGACTGTTTCAGAACATTCTTTGCTTTCTCTTCTCCTCTACCCATGTGTTTTCCGCTCGCCTGAGTCTGAGCGTATCCTAACACGTTGTCACAGCGAGAGGCAAGTGTTCACTTCCTGTCGGCGGTGTTAAAGGGGTGCAGAGCTTCTCACCTGTGGCTCGCTGATTATGACAGTGTAACATGGCTTAGCGGCTAATCCCGCCGCCATCTCTTATCTAACTCCGCAAACACCATCAGCATCACTTATCAGCGGTGACGCCTCCCCCACAACCGCTCCTCACACATGCACACACTAACATCATTGGCGTTGGATTTTCTCTCTCCCATAACACATTTCGCCGTGCCCGTGTCCCGCGGCGAGTGTAATTTGGTGGAAACACAATAAAAATGGTAAGAGAGGGATCAGGCCAGGCAGGATCCATCACGCTGTGACAGCAGGAAACGTGAGCTCAGCCAGCCCTTACATGATTGAAGGCAGCGTCACGTGACCGTCTCTTTTCCTTAACAGGAGGTGGAGCGCCAAAGGTGCGAGGGGCGGAGGTGGCTATCGAGGCCCAATCGAGGGGCTTCCCGAGCTAATGGCCGCCTGCGACGGGAAAGAGGACAACTTCACGTCGATGGTGAAGGAGGTGCTGCAGCCCAATCAGATCTCTCAGGTGCGTCATCTTATGTACCCAAGATGCAAAGTAAACAGCACTCGGTTTACAAAGACTGCATTTCTTGACACCGTCGAACAAAGCATACTTTTTTGGAGATTCCAGTCATGTGGATGAATCGCCTCTTAACAGCATAAACATTCAAATAAATTCCAATTCTCCACGCATTAGGCAGCGGGCACGAGCGCGTGATTTGCCAAAAGCGGCAGACAGTCACAGTGGTCTCAGGTAGCACCAAGATCTCCAATTATCTCCCAAATGAGAGGGTTTAGAGCTCCAATCTAAGTGCTAATTGCAGAGGTAATGCGAGCGTCCGAGCCCCATCAGTATTCCAGCGACCCCCCTTCCTCTCGGCCCTGCTAATTAAATAAGCACATGCGCCGCCGCGTCCTCGTCTCAGTCACTAAGGAAGTGTAATCCTTGCATAAATAGCTGTGGCGGGGTGATCTACACCATCTCCCATGTCTCTAATGCTAACAGAAGCACGGCAAGCAAACAGCCTCCACACAAACACATTCTTTTATTTGTTCATTATGTTTTGCCATATTCTTTGTTTTATTCTACGATCAATCAAAAGTTTGGAATAATTACGATTTTTTTATTGTATCAATTTTTTTTAAAGAAGTCTCATATGCTCACCAAGGCTGCATTTATTTGATTTATCTGTATCCAAAAATGCAGTAAAAATTGTGAAATATTGTTAAAATGCAAAATACCTGTTTTCTATTTGAATATATTTTCAAATGTAATTTACTCTAGAGATGGCAAAGCTTACTCCAGTCT